ATTCCACCAATCTCAGGAAAACTGCTAAATGGCTATCCATATCAGATAATGTTGTCAGAGACTTACTGGTAAGGCTGAAAGTGAGACACTGCTGCTTAATCTGTAGCTAATTTCAATGACTCTCCCAGAGAGAAAGAAAAATAAAATGACTGCAGCACCACCAGTAGAAAGCACAGTAATCTGAGGCTGCCTGATTAAGACTAGAATTAAAGAAAAATGTTTCAAGTGTCTAGCCTACACTTGAAAATCACATCTTCTTATTTATTATTACATGCAAAATGATTGTGCACAACTCCTAACATTTCTAAATTCTGAACAGGACTGCCTTAGTACCGAAAAATTTACTCTTCTTGCATTTTTTCAATGTTCAGAAGACATGGTCTACAATTTAATTTGTCATCACTCAGGCAGAGGATGACAAATGGTGTAATCATTAGTAGCAGAAACTGTTGAAGCACTAAACAAAAAAACCACCCAATAACATCAATGCTTAATATAAGGAAAGGCAAGTAATTTTCTCTGCACCAATATATAAATTTGAAATACAAACACACCTTCTAAAGTAAAAATAATTCTTATGCCACAGTTTCTATAGCAGCCAAGTCCTTTAAGGGAAACATGGAGCCCTTATTAATTAATAAATAATAATTAATAATAATAAAAATAATAAAAATAATAATAAAAATAATTAATTCAACACACCAGTATTAGAAAATCTCAAGATTTTTCAGATTTAAAAAACAGAAAACAGAAAAGCAGATTTAAAGAACAGAAAAAAGAATATGCTTAAATAATTTCCCAGCATGATTCTAAAGGCATCTATCCATTCTCTTAATAGAAACATACTTTAGGACTAAATGTTTATGCAGTAATAACTAGTACTTCCCTTCAATAAATCACATTATTATAATCACAAAAAGAGCTAAGACAATAATAGCAAATACAGACAAAAACTGATCTCTTTACTCTTTTAATACATTTTTGAATTTTGGTATTACTGACAAAATAGCACTGATTTCAGACTATAAACTGGTCTGGTCAGGAAGTACGCCCCCAGTCAAAACACAGAATCATTCAGTGTCAGACTAAAGATGGAAAATTAATCGAAAGTTTCCATCTGATTTTATCGACTAAATCTGTACTTGTTCCCTCTATAGCATAAACAGGAAACCAGAATGATTTTGTAAATCTGGGAAGTTTAATACACAAAAATAGCACACAGCAGGAATAACACTTTCATCAAAGGACTGTAAACAGTAAGAAAGTAGGACTTTTAAACTTTTATTGTAGTGACACCTTGTGGCTACATTTGCCTTATTATGAAACCTCAAAATTTTTCATTTTCTTGCTTTTAATGCAGTTATTCAAATATTGTGGTTGAGGACAAAGTAAAAAGATGAAGTCACTAAAGAAAATTTTGTAACCTTTCCAACATGAAAGGATAAAACAGAGAAGAGCATTACCTGCTCAAAGACCTTTAGCAGTTTTAACATTCATTGCTACCAGAGGAAGATAGAATAACTATGAACCTGACACTTATTCCTAACTTCCACAGGAAGCTGATTACATTAACCTGCATCCTATCTTCCCTCTAAAGAGTTTTCATCCAGTAAAAAAGGCATTGATTGTAGAATTGAACATGGACAGATTTGATTAAGAGGAAGGTTACAGGTTTTCAAAAAGACAAAAACCCCAACCCAAATAAAAGACACACTCCATCAATTTTCATGTCCACAGAAATGTTTAAGTAGCTTCTTAAAACTTAGATGAACGTATCACTTCAGACATTGACAGCTCTCACCTTTTAAAACTACTATTTATGCAAAATGTAACTCAAAAAGGCAACTGACATTGCCTAATGTCACAGGGCTCATATCCTATTTATAATCTATGTTTGAACAATTGCTCTAGTGTATCAGACAGCTGGCTGTCCTTCAACAACCTGTGCAGAATCTGGCATGTTCTACTACCTCACTCTGGAAAAATGCACATAAACAAAAAAATCCCAGCCAATAATTCTACTCTTCAAATCTTTCTTGCTCCTTAAAATGACATCTAACACAGTGACCTCATAAAGCACTTTGAGCTAAAATAATTTATTTTTTTTTTAATAGCAAAAAAACCCAAACCACCACTTGTCTGAAGCCCTTTCTGATAAAGCACTCAATCCATGACTATCTACTAAAAATGCATTCAAAACTTTTTAAAAGTTGAAGCATGCTTCCCTAAGTGGTTGCTTCCAAAAATATTATCTGCATTAATAAGACAAAAAGAGTAAAATGCCAAAACTAATATTAGACAGAATATTAATATGATGCTTCCGCTCCTCTGTATTGTTGTCCACTAACAGGAAAATTTTGGCACTGGGACTTCTGACACTAAAGCCAGACTTTACAGCAGAAGCAGCATTGAGCAAAACAGAGCCTATAAAATGCTTAAAACTTATCTGCCCATTGATAAGCATGTACAACATGACTGTGAAACAGAATATCAAATATTGAAAGAATACATTCTGACAATCTCATATTAGTTCATATTTTAAATCTGTGCTCACAAGACTGGAGAACACATCTTTTTAGGTGACAAGAAAACTCCACATATATTAGGATTTCTCTTTTGTGTATGTTAGTATACTAGATATAACTAACTCATTTAAGTAAACAGAACTACTTAAAATAACAAAACATGGAAATTGGAGACAAAAGAAAGGCTTAGTAGTCCTTGCTTACTTCTTTCTGAACAGAATATTAATTAAAAGACAGATAAGATTTCTAATACTAATATCTATATGTACATAGCCTCTCCTGCTCAAAGCCTCTCTTCTAGAGAGAATTTGATCAAAATTCCTGATCAAAGGATAGTCAACTTCAAGTAATACCTATTTATATTAATGTAATTAAATAAAAAGTTTAAAGTGGAACCCCTCAAAAATTTGTCAGCCATTTTACAGCTCTAATTACCTTTTAAATAGCCTCGTCTTCCTATGGACAGGGGAACAAATACATAAAAGAACAGTAAATAATAGCCATTTTTGACTAGCAAATGCATTCTTACTATAATGTAGGCTTCAATTCATTGATGTAAATTAAGATTACTGAACAACCTTACCTAAACTCTCCTTAATTATTATGGTGACTCAGCTGAGAACTCATATTTTGCTTTAAGGTTACTGCTCCTTAACACTCAGTGCTCATAAACTTATGCTGCCACATGATATTCTCTTTAGCTCTTCCACTTGCCCTTCAAATAAGTTGCACCTCCAAGAAATTCCCTACCATTTTGTGGATATGATAATGAGGAATAGAGATTTACAGAAAAAGCCAGGATTACTTTGGGGAAAAGAAAGCACTTCTCTCCATGGGGATTCCAAGAGTTGCTGTGCCAATTAAAAAGTTTATGTCTACAGAATAATTATTAAAATACAGGTCATTTCCTCTCAGGGTCTATGACACAAAACCAAATTATGACAGCATCTTTGGTATATATAGGTTGTATCCTCCCTATCAACGAGCTCAATTCAGTTTTTGAATAAGACTGCTTCAATGTGATTATCAGCTTCTTGCAGAATTCCCAATACCTACAGTTAAAAAAACATCATAATTTTAACATCACTTAAACCCATCTAGCCATTTTCTCAGAGTGGCAGAATGTCAGAATACACTGATGTCGAAGGGACCCACAAGGATCATCAAGGTCCCTGTCCTGGCCCTGAACAGCACCGTCCCTAAGAGTGACACCTTACGCCCAAGAGTATTGTCCAAATGCCTCTTGAAAACTGTCAGATTGGTGCTGTGACCACTTCCCTGAGGAGCCTGTTCCAGTACCCAAGGACCTGCGGATACTAAATGCAAAAAGTAAGCAGGGAACAGAGTCTATGTGAAACTAAGACACACAGACTTCTCACTCTGGCCTGAGAAAGCATGAGAAAGAATCCAAACAGTCCTTGGTAAAGGACAACAATCTTTGCAGGTGTTGTTTAGGATTTACTTGCAAGGAACAGTCAAGGGGTGGTGTTCCACTTAACCAATGATGGTGATGTGTTGCTTTAATGACCAATGAGAGTTTCACCTCTCAGACTTTCTTGAACCTGTCTATAAAAGAAGATCAAGAATAATAAACTTTGCTCTCTTGGACAATGCAGCAAAGAGAGTCATGTCGTACTACTTCACCATTCTTAATATAGTGTGACAACCACGCTCTGAGTGAAGAACCTCTTCATAATATCCACCCTCCCCTGACACAGCTCCAGGTCATCATCTCAGGTCCTGTCACTGGGTACCACAGAGAAGAGATCAGTGCCTGCCCCTCCTCTTCCCCTCACAAAGAAGGTGTTACTGCAATGGGGTCTCCTCTCAGTCTCCTCCAGGCTGAACAGGCCTTAGCTGCTTGTCATTCGGCTTCCTCTCAAGGCCTTTCATCATCTTCATTGCCCTCCTTTAGATCATCTATAAAAGTTTAATATCGTTCTTATATTGTGGCACCCAGAACTGAACATCAGAGGCATTCCTCAAAGCTCTGTAGTCCTAACTCTCCTCTTTCTGCCTTTTATAACTATTTAAAACAGTGCATCAGTAGAAAATATATAATACTTAAAAATATATTTTCACGCTCTGTAGTAAGTGCATTATAAACATTTAGGCAGTCAAGGAATGAGTTTTACTACTGAGTGGGAAAAAACCTTGCATCAGCTGCAAAAAAGGTGTGTATGACTCAAAAAAAAAGAAAGAAAAGAAAGGAGAAGGAGATACATAGATACAGAAAAAATAGAATTTTCAAACCGGACACCTGCATTGTATCAACTACATTAATATCAGAAAAGAATAAGATAAACTATTACAAAGCTCTATAAATTAAGATAAACTACATTTTTAGCATAGCTGATGGAAGTTAAGATACCATACATTTTCAGAAATACATAATGAAGTAGCAAAATCCAGCAACTTATTCTGGTGCCAACATTCTTTAATGTTAGCTACTGTATATTACACTGATGAACTAACCTGCAGACACGGGCAGGAAAATACAGGTTCTGCCAGGACCGACAGAGGTATTTAGAGTGATCGATAACCCGAATCCAGTCCAATTCATCCATGGACACCTCAATGTAGTAGGAATAAGACCTATGGATTGTCAAAAAATACCGGTTAGAATACAAGTTGACAATTTTACACTGTCTTCTGGATCTTCAGTTGTGTTGAAAAGAAAACTGTTCTTATAAAGATCCCTACCTTCAAACTTGCTTTGAAAAGAAACTCTCACAGTTAAGATGTATTTTCAGAATGATTTAAAACATACACACACTCACAATCTACAGTCATTAGATGAGACTACTATGCCTCAAAAAATGAAAAGGAGACATTTGACTCTTGTCATAAAATTATCATTTGTATTCCTTCCCCATGGAATGAAACTAAACCACCGGTGATATGGTACTATTTCTATTGGCAAATCAATAAAGAAAAAATTAAAAACGATTTCCTAGATCAAAAATGCAAATTCAAACTCCTTACTTGAAAAAAGCAAATTTATTTTATGATCATTTTAACTGATGTTGTTTTTCACTTCTGACCCTTTCAGTTCTTTATGATACATCATTAAGCCTGTCACTACCTCCTTACACATTCCAAAATTACCTCATGAAAAATAAAAAAGCCATTAACAGAGTCTGTGTCTTCCTCCTGCTTATCAGTCATGTTTACTTTATAGTTTGCTGTTAAAAGAAAGCAAACCCAAACCAGAACTTGAAAGTCACAGCTAATTCCCTATTATATCCATGACTGTAACACTTAGAATAAAGTAGAAATTTCACTTGCGGAACTGCAAGTCATTGAATATGTTTCAGAGTATTTTCTTTCTCCTAAGGTACTAGTCTGCAAAATTCACAGGCAGTTTAACATCACCATGTAAGCACTTAACATCCTCTCACATTGATTTCTAAAGAGGATTTGCTCCTAGGGAGTTCTACAAAAGCATTTATTATTAAAATTAATGCTTTTGTTAATATTTCCAATTTTCCTGAGGACTTAAGAGTATGTACTTAAAATGATATTGTTTAAAAATCCTTAAAACAATAAATAGTTACTACCTTGGAAAGCTGTCTTTAAACATCAATTGCATAACCAGCTTTCACATTCACACCAATCAGATGTGTAATACAACCCACACAAATACAATATGCTTTAGCAAGATTACTATTACTAACATATGTGTACTTGACCAAACCAGGCCCAAAGTTTTAGAGTTTGAGCAGTTTGTATACAAAAGTTACTGACAGTCCTATGTGCCTTGTGAATTTAGAGGTTCTCACACCATCATTACTAATGAACATGTATTTGTAACCTATATACAACATGCTACTTTTTGGTTTCTTAAGATACCAAGCAAAGAAATATTACCTCAAAAATAAAGTTCCATTATCATACACAATAGTATCCTTTCCAGTTTCTTAAGGCTGGATAGCATCTTATTTGCAGAAGTAGGTTGAATAGCTACTGTCCTTAGCACTTTTACAGCTAAGAGTCAGCTGTTAACACTCCTGAACTAGAGGTGTAAGACACGTGTTAGTTTCCATTTGGTTCTGTTAAGAATATCCAATAGACTAGAGCTTCACATAAACAGTTGAAATGAACAGAGTAATTTAAAAAATTGTTCAACAAGAAAGCAATCATGCTGTACAAGCCTGCTCATGTCTGTACAGGCGTTAAAACACCTCTTTAGAAGACATTATTCATATATCCCATGAAAAATATGCAGTTTGGTGGACAGCAATTGTTAGACGAAGACTGTAGAAAGAAATAGATCTCTACAGAAATCAAGGTCAATCTCAGAGAAAGTTCCTTAAGATCTTAGCTAGCAAATTTCTGCACACCTTTCTGGGCACTCTTCCCAAGTTCAACTGCCCCTATAAACTATAAATTGTTTTCCTAATATTTAATATGAATTTAATTTCTTGCTTGTGTCCACTGCTCTTTGCACTTTCAGCACACAGCTCCAAGAGAATTCTGTCCCTGTATTCTCTATATTCCACTGAACAGGTATTGAGGCCAACAAATTCTCCCTTCTAAACCTGCACACCTTACCAACAGCAGGTTCTCATGTGCTCAAGCCTTCATCTTGTTGTCCTGCTGAACTCACTTCAGAAAGTCAGTATCTTGTACTGATGAGCCAAATGCCTCTGTTTCCATTTATCTAAGATAACTGAGTTACTCAAGGGAAAAAAGTTTGACAATTCGTAGAACAGAGAATCAGACTATTCTGAATTAGAAGGAAATTCCTAGGGTGATCAAAGTCCAACTCCTGGCCTTGCATAAGCTAGACAGTACTAATACCAGTACCATACCAGTAGGGAAGCAAAAGAAAGCCCAATAGCAAATTTTCCACAGAAACTAGAATGATTTAAAAAAAAAAAAAAAAAAAAATCAGCATGACACAGAAACTAGATCTTAAACCATTCTGCCCTCAGTATTTTATGAAGACAAAAATCTCTAGAGATCCACATTGTCAGATATTCTGCCAGCAGTAACAGTTTGTTCTACAAATTTCAGATGACTTGCACAGGACACCAAGCAACAGGTAACTTTTTAGAAAGCTGTCCCAACAAGAACATTTTTCCCTGAGTTTTACCAGGTGCAAATTTATGCCCTACAGATGAGGGGCATTTTTATATAAGTTCTCTAAAAATTGATACAGGACTCATTATTAACATATCTCTAATACTTTTTCAGATTTTATAAAGTCAGTTGCTAACTGCTTCATAAATTTGGTTGGTCTTCTGTCACAACTAGTATAATATTATATGAATAAGTCCGTATACCTTCAAGGATCCACTTTTTGATCTTTACAAAAGAAATAGAAGGGAATCAAATTTCAGTTAAACTAAAGTAGAATTTCCTTAGAACAGTAAAATAGCTAAAATTAATGAAATTGGTTTTGAATTATTAGTTAACTAACTCATATTTAAAAATTTATTTAAATTTACAAAAAACCCCACTCCAACTAAAACTTTTATATACCCTGTTCTAGAATAACATGGCTTAGCTAAAAAAGCAAAATGCAACTGGTTCTGCAATGCTAAACTGTTAGTTTAGAAATAAAATAAAATTAATCCTTTACCAAAAAGATCATAAGGTATACAATAAATGTGTAAGTAGCATGTTTTATTGTTTTTAACAGCTTATTAGTACCTGCTGAGCTGTCTACTAAACTGCAAGATCTTTGTCATGGCAAGCTACAAAATTAATATATTAAATTTGTCAGATAAAAAGAACCTTGCAATTTTTCTACTTCAGCAGCTTTTCAATTGTTCAAATGTGCCTAATTTTAATTTTCATATATTCCATAATAATGTAAAGTAGGTCAGTAACAACGGGCAACAGTATCTATTACAATTCATATTTTGGCAGTCTAACCACAAAGTGGCTTCTAGTAACTACTGTAGTCACTTGGTAATTCACATTTTGAATAAATTTTATTACCTCTGAATTACAGAATCACAGAATCACTTAGGCTGCAAAAGACCTCTAAGATCAGGTCCAGTCTTGCTGCCAAAGTGTCCCATTTCTTAAAAGTTTTGATATATTGAAAAAATTGGAACAAAAAATATCTTTAAATGTTTGAAATGCAAATATGTAAAAATATTTAAATACTTTGAGGCAGTTTAACATCTCTAAATATGATCTGGTGTGTAAGTAACCAAAATTGCATTTAAAAATCAGGTTGTTTCCAAATAAGCTTTGCAATTGTCACCTCCAACACGATCATGCTATTTCCATAAAGTATTTAATTTACAGTTTGCACTGCTACATTATCTCCACACAAAATGCATTACTTTGCCTTTTTATGTCACCTTGGCACCTACCGACTGTCTCTGTCCCACAGGAGAATTCGTATGTGGTTGATTATTGAGGGCTGACCTAGTTTAATCTCAATTCCAGACCGGCAGTCATCATTGATTGGGTGTCGAGAGAATCCATGATCCAGGTCGTAGTTCTGAGTATCTCCATCCAATAGAGCAGACTTCAGCTCCCCTTTAACAACTTGTGCTCCATACTTCATTGTTGCAATGTTCTCCCCCGGTACTAAGAAGAAAAGGAAATAATTGCTTAAATTTTACACTCTCCTACTGAATATTAGATGTTCTGAATATAAACTCTATTAGGTTAGACAAAAGATTTATTGCTAGTATCCTTTCTTGGCCACAAACACATCCTCTAGGGGAAAAGAAAAGAAAAAAGGAAAGAAGATAAAGAGGCATTAAAAAAAATTAGCTTCTTCAATTTCATTTGGTATCTCCTACACATTTGATGGTAATAAAGCTGTGATAATTTACTATTATGTAGCACCTATATTCTCAGTCCCCTTCATAATTTTACAAAATTCTGTCACATCTGTCAACTGTTGTTTGCTTTAGGTTTGGGTTTTATTTTCCCCCAAATGGAAGAAACTTAAAATGTACAAGATGTGTATCAAATGTTCAAGATGCATGCTGAATTTGCAGAGTGGTGTATACTGCAGTAAAGCCATTTATGTTCCTTTGTCAACTATACAAGCTTCCAGTACCCTGCAAAGCTAAATGAACTTAAGTGAAATGGGAAACTTCTGACTATTTGGGCTTTGAACTCACATGGAAAACCAAGTTTCTTATGCCACCATTTCACCATTTCATTTCCATAAGCCTGTGTCCTGGGAACAGCTTCCTTCAAACTAACTGTGAATAATTATCCCTAACTTCAACTACAGAACAATACTTTTTATAAACTAGCCTCTTCAAAAGACATTTTTAACAGTCTTGTTTGAGGAGAGATCCTAGAAAATATGATTTAAAAACCAAATGATGAAAAGCTACCCCAAACTTTTCAGGCAGATTGACAACAGCATTTTAACATGGTATTAAAAATTTGATATCTTAAGAACAGAATTTGAAGTGGTAAATGGTCATCAACATTTTCACAAATAGAAAAAGTTCCAAGATCCTGAATGAGTACTAAAACAACAAAGAAATTCCAGTCTCCAAAAAGCTGTGAGTATGAGAATTTTATTGTGGAGATAAATATCCAGGAAAAAAAGCCAGAAAAGACCATTTGACTTATTTAAATTTACCTACTCCAGTGTCAAGAGAATGTCTTGCATGACAAGACTTCTACAATATCCTAATATTAAATTCATATGTTTAAATATTAATAACTATAACTTCTAAGAGAGAACAAAGAGAATATGCGATTCTAAGATAGCAGTAATTTTCAGGGCTCATCATGCATGACTGAGCATATAGTGCAGACTCTTAAAGAACATTTAACTTTTCTTTTCTGTGGGTCAAATTCATACATTAGATGGCTAACAATATCTTTTTAAAGCTTGAGTGTTTGATACTCTTGTTGAATTAACAGATATCACAGAAAAAAAGTCAAACAAGGCTTCTTACACTTTACAGGCTTCCATTATAACAACTTCAGAGACTTATTTAGACAAGCATGTAAAGAGTAAGAGAAAAGTCGAAAGTAGTAGTGGAAAAATTACGAAAATGTTTATGAAGTAGAAAACAGGTCACTATCAACATAAAACCACTTACATATCATATATCTCACAGCCAATTCATTTTTATTTTCAATTATTTTGTAAAAAATTTTCAATTCAATTACCACTTCCTCTAGGAAAATAGTATTACATTCATGTTTGAACAATATCTGAGATACAAAGCAAGAAAATAAATGTCTAATATCGAGAAATAAAAATGGCATGAACAGTTACATAACATGATGTTTCATACCGCAAACCTTTTATAACACACAGTAATAGAAGAAAACTCAATGCACAAATTAACCATATCCTCCAGATAACCACAGTCACTAAATGAGAAGGAAACAAAGAACTTCACGCTTACTTAACATGCCCCTGTAGTTGAGGTCCATGTCCCGACTCTCAGAACGAATCTTAATGGCATCTAGGATGGCGTCAGGTGACAACAACCCAGAAGGTCTTACAACATTCAGAAGTTCTGTTAAACTCATTAGTGGCAAACGTACTGCTTGCATGATTTCAGCATGGTTTTCCTTGGGGTTATGTTTACACCAGTTCATCAAAGCTTGGAAAATGTCCTTTTCAGGAGCTGCAAATGAGTCTCTCAGTACTATACTTAGAAGAGCAGCCTGGAAAAGAGAAATAAGAACAAAAAATATATCCCCTAAGTAAACAGAAATTAAATTGAATTTTATTTTTTTAAACAAGGGAAATTTAAATAAGGCAAAAAAAATGAATGGCTATTTTAACTTATAGCTATTAAAAATAATCTCTAAAGGGGTGATTCCCTGAAATTATAGCTTATTCTAGTTATGCAAGAATTACAGAATCCATGACCAAAACAATAGGCAATAAAACAAAATCACTAGAAGAAACTGACATCAATATAATCAATATAATAACATTCAGTAGTTCAAATTTGCTTTGGAATATTACTAGAAATTTGGGGACTTGGTAGTATGCTTCAAAATATTCCTTTAAACTTAAGTCGCTATAAAGGCACTGATGAGAAAAAAGTGTTGCTTGGAATCAATTCTTTTAACCATTTCGAACTACTTGGGATTTTTGTCCTGTCACAATCTTTCTCTGTCTTTTGGTACCAACTACGAATCACCAGGTAAAAACTCCAGTGGCTCTTACTCATGTATAAAACCCACTGACTGCAAAATGAGAACTAAAATAATCAAATAGCTTTTTGATTTTCACTTAGCTAGCAGAAGCTAGCAGGAGCTTGCCTAGAAAAAAGAAAGATCTCTCATATATACCAAGACTGGCTATGCCAAAGACCTTCAAGTGTGCACTTCCTGATGCATGATGTTTGCTTGTTTCTTTATTGACAATATGCTCTCAGAGTTCAGACTTAACAAGCTGAACATGACAGAGAAAGAGAGAAAAAAAAATTTTTTCTCCTTATACAAGGAGTAACTTACTGCAGTGTCATTCAAGGAATACACCCTTCACATCTTTCCCCCTAAGAAAAAACACTTAAAAAAAACCCAATTAAAGCATCACTCAAAGTGTTCTGCTGCTTCATGTGAACACTACTTGAAAACACTCACTATTATGTCCAGCCCAAAGACCCCTTGAGAGTAAGTGCAAAACTTCAACTTCATAGAACAGTCTGACTCAGTCACAAATATTTATGCATCTAACAAAAAAAAAAAACCACAAGAAAAACCCCAAACACCCTACCACACCATCATATTCTGCAAATTCAGAACATGATGACAATCAGCAGCATAAATCACAGTAGGCTCCAGAATGCTTCCATTTGCCCAGCAGAAATTCACCCATCACTGATGAAGCCTATATCAAGGAATCCTTAGAACAAAGCATATCCTGTCCTATTTAAGTCTATATTTGACTTGCCCTCTGCAGCATTCAGAAGCCAAATTACATTATACCAGGAACAGATGAAGTAAGATAAATTAAAATTAGATTGACTGATGCCATCTTTTAGAACACTCCATCAGACATACTATATTTAGCTATATTGACTGGTCAATACCTAAAAAATTCAGAACAGATTGCCAAAATTTTCAGTTCAGCTTGTCTTGACCATTTCCAATTGTCACAGTTTCACAAGTATAAGATAACTATGAGCTAACACAAGTTTTTAATTGGTTCCCCCATTAGTATTTCATCACAAAATCACATTGCCATTAAAATTAACAGTCCTGGGGGAAAAAAGTGCAAACAAAAGATATACCTTAGAAAGTGACAGGAAGCCTTCGCTGGAGAGCACCTCTTGGGCGTTTCTATCCATGAACATACAGCACATAAAAGTTAATTTGGGAAGAGAATAAAGACTGGCAACATCAAAAGTCATACAGACATTCTGAACATTAAGTATTGTGCAAAGATACTCAGACGTGGAATCCTCTAGTTCTGGAAATCCGTATTTATGTGCTAGGCTTAGGAAGTCAAGAAGAACCTCTTCTTTCTCATCTCGTAATGTAGCACGACCAGTGTAAATATATTTCAACAGCATGGTAAATGCTTCTGCAGTGGTGTCCTGAAGAGGAATTTCTGCTTCAGGCTGAGATTCTCTCATTCCTCCATACAATAATGCTCTATAAGGAAGAGAGTTTAACTTAGTTAGTAGCTTATCCCTCTGACAAAATTCACTGAAATGTTAAATGTATTTCTATTGAAAAATGACCAGCTCTTACAAAAAAAAAAGTTTGATTAGTATTATTCCTAGTTTTAAAATATGTATTCTAGTCTATGTCAGCCAATCCTCTGCTCAATTCCAATTCATCAAAATGAAACCTGCTGCGTATATTCCATAGAAACACACCATTTATACTCTGAGAAATCAAAACAGCTTTGCAGTAGTACTTTCATGTTCTCAAGTTCTCTTTCTCTTGAATTTGTAAAACTACCTTCAAAATCCAATTTAATGAAGGTCAAAAGAATAACACTGTGACATGGTATTTATCTTTTTCTATTTGAACACAACGATCTCATGTGCTGGGAAACATTCACACAGAAAAGGTCACACTCAATGGACAGATGATTACACCCTGAAAAGTTCACAGAGAAACAATGTTTATCTCATCTACATAAAAATTTCCTGTGAGCCTGACAAAAAGCCTTACTTCACCTGAAATAATGACATCTAGCAGCCAGGATCACTCTGTGTGCCGGAAAACGCTTCTTTTCCACAATAAAGGTAACGTCACTGTATTCTTCCCCGTTCATTAGAGCACCAATATGCTCTGACAGAATGTGAACATGGTCGATCTCCCCCACAGCCGTGTACGGACGAAGAGGGTGGCTGTTACTCATCTTGGAGGGATGGTGATACTGGTAGCCTAAAGGACAAAGAAAACAAGCAGTATTACACAGGGCAAAAATATTAAGAATAGCAAGCATAACTACAATAACAAAAATGTGACTAATCTAAGTAATCATATATTACAAGAAAAATTAAATCAGGAGGTTTTCTATGAAAGTTCATTTTCAACCAGACTCAACACAGCTGGCACCAACAATTCTAGCTAAGTATTTCAAAGAATTGTCACCTTGTTAGTCAACCCTGTTACTTAAAACAAAGTTTCCAACAAAGGGAATTAAAAACTGAATTATTTTACATCATGTTACTATTAGAAAGCAATTTTATCTGAATTAAAATGCACACACAAAAAATAGAAATAAGCAATGTGAGCAGTTAAGCTTAGTCTTAACTCTCCAATCAGTACTAGAATCAGTGAAAAGTAAAAACTGTTTTTGCAGGATTCTAGTCAGCTCTTCAGAACTGGGAGAAAATAAACAACCAAGGTAACTTTTAATAAATAACAAAGTCTGTCAGAGAAAATGCTTTACCATGTACAATCCAATTTCCTTATTCCTTACACTCAGTTTTCTTGATGACTTCTTATTCCCTCATATTATATATATATATATATATATGAGAAAACAAACTCGTTAATACCTCTCAGTCATAAAATTACGTGATTGCCCACTAACGTACAAAACAGATAAATGCATTAGTCCTATCTTCTATGCAATTCTTTTGTTTTTCTTCATTCACAACAGGTTTTAGCTTTTTATGGATTTGGTTTATTTTGGTAACAGAGATTTTCTATAGTCTCAATGGTAAGAGCATCCAAAAGCAAATTTAGGTATTATATTGGCTTCTACCATTACACTTCAGTTTACTTTTCTTTAAAAAGAGGTTGGTTGTTTCAGATAATGACCATCCATATCTCCAGAGACATCTTCCCTGCTGCAGTTACTAGCCACTTTTCAAGTGCTAAAGAAAGGTGGCATACTGCTGCTGATGATAGAGACAGGAATGCAACATGAACACACCAAGATCACGCAGCAATGCCCAACCTTTATCGAAGGGCAATCCTTTATATAGGGGCTTCAAATTTCCACACTTACAAACACGACTGTGATCTTAGTACCGCCTAGCTCACTTGATCAATGATATGTATCCATCCATGATTCATAGGGATTGGCTGGGGTCTCCTTGTTTGAGTTTGAATTCAGCTAATCACTTTCATACCTGGGGGCTTGTTTTTCTCAATTCCCTAATGAGCTAAACTGTCTGTCATGGTCAGTGACAGCTATAGCTGTCACAGTGTACCACAAGAAAAAAGAAAAGGCCATACCTTTCACACATCTAACACATAAATCAAGTCAAAATCATGACAGAAATACACTTTTAGGTTCTACTATAAAATACTGTAAAGATACTATCAGAAAATATGTAAAAAAGCCCAAAACAGTTGTACTTGGGATTAATTATTACTTGCATTTTAACACATGGAAACACTTTACCCAAAATCAAGATACTGTGGAAACACAGTCACAAAGAACTTCAAATGAAACTAAAAAAAAAAAAAGTAATAGAAATTGAAAATAAAATATAAGAAAAATAAGCATAGTAAATTGCTGGAATGCACGAAATAGAAGCCCGAGTTCCTTAGAAAGAGAAAAGAATGAAAGGATTGAATTAAAACCTTCAGAGAAACTAAAATATATTAAGCCACAGACTTGAAGTAGGAGTGTTAGTTTTAAGAAAGTAGAAATATATCTTCAGTGCCTTAAGAGATTGTGTTAGCTAGTAAAAAGCCCTAAAGTTCACTAGTGTTAACTTCTACAAAATTAACTTAGGTCCAGACATAACAAGAACATAGTAAGAACATTGCTTGTATTTCTAGATAGAACAGATAGAATTATTTGCGTAAACAGATACAATATATGCATAGAGCTTGAGTAAGAACTGACATGACTTTCATACATTAGAATTAAGACCAGATTGGTGTAAGAAGAATGTTTTAGAATTGCGTTTTTAGCTAATTGGATGATTTATGAATTAAATCCCCCCTGTATTGGAAAAGAAAGACAACAACAGAACAAGAACAACAGAAAGAAGAATATGAAAAGAAGCTGCTGCTTCCGCTCAGAACATCGGGACTCTATGACAGAAAGCTTTTGTCACAGGCTTTAATACTCTGAACTCTTCACTTTTGAGACTGATATTCTGTTACAGGAAACAGAAATTTTCTGTAAATACTTCAACATTCAAAGTGTAAATACTTCAGTTCTCAAAACCCTAGCTGCAGTAGCTCCTTTGTATTTCTAAATAACAATAACAAAGTTGAATCCCAGTGAAAATTGTAATGGAGAAAAAAAAAACAAAACAATTTTTGATACTTTGTAGACAAAATTAGAAACCACATAATCAACCCTTATGACTATTTAAATACAGAAAATGAAAGCTCAGGTTAAGTTAAATTCAGAGAATTTTCAAGTTGCATCTCCAACCCACCCTTTGTGAAAGGATTAGAAGGAAAGCAGATGGTAACATTAATGGAAACTACCCACACCACCCAACCACAGCATTCTAGACAGCAATTTAGTACCAAAAAATGTTTTGACTCAAAGTATATGGGAAGTTACGCCCTGCTCATCTGCAAACACATTCCCATCACTTAAGTACTGTACTGCTAAAATTTTACATTCCAATCAGATGCTTTCCTGTCACAAAAGAAAAAGAATAAGTTTAGCCAAGTACTAAGAACAATATACTTAGTGCAGATTATTTATTAACACATTTATAAAATTAACCTGGTTAAAATGGCATACAACAAAAACATTAAAATCTCAAGAAAACACGTTGGGTCCACTCACCACTGAAGCTGTCTGAAGACCTACAGTGAGCATAGCCTGTAGGCAGATTCCCCACTTCTGGGAAATTAGGGTTCTTCGCCATTCTGAACAACAGACAGATTGAACAGCAAGCTCATAGACACGTTATTCAGCAACATCCAGCTGCACAGCAAGAAATAGACCATCTCCTGGAACAATGCATGAAACACACACCATCAGAAACTATGAGCACAAAGCATTATGATGAAAGTGAGAGAGATGTGTACTTCTCAATTCAACTTTTTGCAGAAATAAAGTCTTTAAAAACCCTTCAATTTAATGGGTAAACTTCTAAAAACATTAGAACACAAAAACAGTATTTCTATTTTGAGTCATCAAAATTTAATTTTAACCATTCATATTTTTAACCATCATAGAAGACAGTAACATTTTGCCATATTCACTATAAGACAAAAAATTCCATCCTAACATTTCTGCTACAGCATTAATATCCCTGAAAACACTATTTTCCCACACGGGTGTCCTAATTAACCAGGTCTATACAAACTGAATCACACATGCTTTATTCCCTACACTGACAAAATTTTCCAAGCGTTCTTACTTAGCTAAAGTTTTGGGGGTTCTGACTGGGTTTTGGTGATTGCTTTTTTTACAAAATTTAAGGCAGTTGCAGACCTTTCTATTGCGCAAACCTTTTTTCAAACAGGAAACCAAAACAAAACTGAAGGGTTAAGAAAGAGAGAAATATAGAGGTTTGACTTGCTTAAATACATAACCAACATAACACGTCTCTCTCAGCAAGTATAAATTATTGTTAACCTTCCCATCAAACCTGCCAGGAGGAAAAATAGACTGTATTTAATTTGCTAAATAGATGATACCTTGATTTATGAATTCACTCATAAGGGTCACTCTAATTTTCTTTGTGGGATATGCTTAAGAGAACAAAGGAGAAGGTAGGAAAAAAAATTTTTAGGTAGTCTCACGAACTAGAAAGTAACCACACCTTAATCCTTCTGCAAATCAGATCCAGGCTTTTGACGAAGAAAGTCTCCTGGATTTTGAGGATCAAAATGTAATCTGAAGTATCTTTCCTATAAGTAATGCATGATATCAGTTTGGCCTGTGTTATAAAAATATATGAGAAAGCCATTCATGAAAATTCTTGGGGTCTTTGTTAAATTTGAGTAAATATCTCAACAGAATAGTTCAAGCACCAGATTTACATATTTATAACAGAAGACACATCAAATACATCTGCTTTGTGAGCAGGCTCAAATTAAATCCTAAAACATATAAAAACTTCAATGATTCTAGCACAGGACTTCAAGAAAGTTTGTGTGCTGCACTTTAAAAACATGAACAAAGAGCACTGCTGGGCAAGCAGGATCACCGGCAGATTGCTAAAAAGTTAACATCAAATTGTTTATTTTAAAGTCTGAAAATATGCCTTCTAAGAGTAATTTCAATGAATCACAGTAGTGCATAAATTGCAGAGTGGTTAAACTACTACGACACCAAAGCATCAGGGAAAACATTTGAGGACCGCGAGAGCTTCAAAACACTGAACTTATATTTTTTCAGAAAGAAAATTCGAATTAGATGGCCACAGCAGGGCCTTGAGAAGCCAGCCAGGGGCGAAGGGGCGGCAGGAGGCTGGCGCGGACCACAGACGGCGGCCGGAGCCGGCAAGGCGCCCAAGGTCGAGCCCGGGATAGCCCGGGCCGCCACCGACCCCCAGCTCGGGAGGCGCCAGGCGTTCGGCCGTCCCCTCTCTCGCCTCCACAAAAAGGCACTTCAGGTGAAATCGCTTCCCCGCCAAACGGGCCCGGCGCTTTCCCCATACGGAGGCGCACCCTCGGCCCGCCCCGCGTTGCCCTGCCTGCGCCCGGCGGGAGCCGCCGACGGCAGCACCTCGAGACCCCAGGCGGCCACTGGGCCGAGGCCGCCGCACCCCTCATGCCCGCGGGACTCACCGGCCCCGCCACCGCAGAAGCCTCCTCCCCACCCCCGTCCCGCCGCCGTCCATACGTCACCCGGCGGCGCACTGACGTCACCGAGGAGCAACGGCCTGTGTGTGGCGCAGGAGTGAGTTCCGTCGCCCGCGGGAACGCCACCAGCTGCGCCCCATTTCCTGCTCCGCCCATGGAGCGCAGGCGGCTGGGGTACAGCGGCGCTGCCGGGCCACCAGGACTGTGAAGCAGTCACAGTAGTGTTTAAACCTTCCTTGTCCGCTGCTCCTTGGCTGCGTTCCAAATCCGTGTTTCCTTGGCAGCGGCATGCGTAGCTTTTGCTCTTCGGTGCGTGTGCTGCTTTCCTGCGTCAGGAGAGCGTCTCCCAGCGAGAATGGAGAATGTGGGCCTGTCGTTACGTAACCAAGAGAGGTACTTCTGCTGCGCTGCAGGAAGCTCCATTTAAGCCCTCCGAGAGGCAAAGCACTACACGCTGTTTAGTTCCATACTTTATTTAGCAGAAACGAATCCTTCCGTGGAAGAAGTAAAAATAATGGCCTGTAATCAGTGAGAACATGAAATAATTTCAAAAGTTTTTCTAAGTCTAAATACTTAAGTATTGTTGCAGGTTAAAAGACTTATCATTAAGTGTTTTTCTTTAGTAGTTTATTCTTGGATTTCCTATCTGTGAATACTAGTTTAAATTAGTTCTTAGTATGAGAAGAAGCAGTAACTTCTTTTTTTTTTCAAAACAACCCAAAGCCACATATTGCCCACTTCATTATACCCCTGTAACTAGTTTGTAGATGCCAGTGTTTTTTTACTACTTCCCTGTTGAAAGACCCCCGAGCTGTTCACCAGTCTTCACAGAAGTAATTGTGAATGCCGTTTATTTCTATTATTAACACACCTTTTATAGGGTTCTACAGGGTCTGCGGGCAGAGCAAGTTACTATTGGCTAACACACACAGGTTTACATTCTTATCCTTGTACACAAGGATATTGTTTTGCTTTACTCTCTCTTCTGCAGGCAAGTTTCAAGGATTTCAGCCCTTAATATCACGACTTATTTCAAAGGCTGGTTTGTGCATACAGGCCTTTACTAATATATAAAATATAGCAACAATTCCCCCTTTCTCCTTTTGCACAAACCAGGCTTTGGATAAGATAACATACCACTTAGACTGTCATCCCAATTAACATTATAAGTAAAGTCCGTCCCCCTTCTAGCACAAGAGACCTCAACCATCCGGTGTTGCCCCAGCTGGCGAGCCAACTTCCAATGGGGTCACTATCTTCCTCCAGGGCATGTAACTCATCCTGTAGCTGTTGCAGTTGCTTATGGATGGAAGCTGAATGATCAGTAAGATCCAAGCAGCACATGCCTTCAAACTCCCCACAACCACGTCCCTGTGCCAAGAGCAAAAGGTCCATTGCAGCTCGATTTCATAATATTGCATGACATACACTACTCACATCGGCTAAAAGCTCACTTAACATTGTGGATGTCAAATTCAATCCTTCCTTAGTCCAACAAGCGAGCCTTTTTAGGGTGGCTAAACTTTAATTCATTCAGGCTTCGCTTTGACTTTGTGATGTTCTTCATTTTGCTAGCTATATTCAACAATTGGTGTTAGCTTGGGTGGAACAAGGTTATGTTTCCCAAGATAACAGGGTCTTCCATGTGGACTAGCAGGAATCCCATTCCATGCCCTATCCCCACAGATTAGGAAGATGGAACTAGGTAATCGCTTTGGTAATTGTCCTGTGAGACTGCACCACAAACAAAGGCTTTACTTTCAGTGGTAGTAACGAGATCAGCTATAGGGTTGACTGCAGCTCAGGGCTACATTACTTTGTTAGAATGACTTTTTGTCGAGGGTTCAAACATTATCCATCCACCTGAGGTATTGGTGGAACTTAACAAATCTAATTCTTCTGAGGGTTGTAACATTGAGAACTTTGGTAATTTTTTGCTTGCCAACAGGCTTCAGGTTGTCTTAATGTGAAGCCAACAGTGCAATTGCACTCTTGCAACATTGCCAATCGATTCAGTTGAGTTTCATTACTAATTAAATCTTTAAATGCTGGAGGATCCCATTCAGGGACTCCTACAAGACAGGTGCGAAAGGATCTCCAGGTGTGGCTAGGCTTAGACACATTGACCTTTGGCCAGTTCAATGTGCCAGAGTGACCCACATGTTCTGCCTCTTTTGGATGTTAGTTAGCAGACAGTTGGTCAGGACTATACACAACACAATTACCATAAGCAGTTTGTTCCATGCAAATGACACCATATTTGCAAACTTACAGCTAAAACTCCAATCGTTAAATGAACTTTCAAAGATGCTTACACTAGCTCTTGAAGGGGGAATACTTATACTTTATACTAACATAACAATTACTACACAGGCTAAACTATCTTAACCTATTATAGAACTACTTTTAACACACGTGCTTTGGTATATATGTAGTCTAAGCGTGAAAGCAATTTGCTGAAAGGGTAAACACACAACTACAATTTGCTTTATATACAGTTAAATGGAGTCTCTACACTTCTTAGATCTTCTACAGAATTTCTCTAACACGATTCAGTCCTGGAACGTTCACTGCTCCCGTGATGTCAGCTGGCAGCTGATGGGTGACTGAGGGTTTTGATGTTCAAGTTCTTCTTCAGATCCTTCTAAATCTTAAAACAAAGGATACCTGAAAAATTGGTAGAGACATAACATCATAGTAACGACATAAAAGTTCTGTTGGCAACTGTCTGTGTAGTGTTCAGACACAACTGTGTCCTGACAGCTCCACTTCTGATCCATGTCTGGAGTACCAAGGCTGTGTGATGACTTCTCTGTTCACTGGATCTCATGTGTTCAGAGGCAGACAGTCTGGTCAGATGGACAGGTGACCTTTTTGAACCTGCCAACAAAACACAGGCACTTCTCCCCTTGAAGTTAATGAATTACACTAATCAAATGTTTTTAGGGCATCCATTTCCCCCGTTTTCTTAAAAAAAAAAAAATAAAATAAAATGAGATGTACTTCTGTTATAAACATCAACAGCAACACAAAACCATATACACAATTAATAAGAACTTATACCGGTTAAAAATCAATTAAATCATAAACATTATTAATAACATATGTAATATAAAACTACTATTAATTACTAAAACACTGCACCAGCATCCCATCGTTAGCAAACAAACAGAAACAAAACAATCAGTGAAGGATTGGGTAATCACCTCCGGAAATGATTCTCCAAGCCCACTTCAAAACTGATCCAGCTGTCATATCAACAGGGTCAAATTGCTGAGTCAAAAAGTGACTCAAATAATGATTTGGGACAGAAAACATCTGGATCTGATGGCAAACGTTCCCTCCAGGTAAAGTCAAGGCTTGGCCAGGGCCTGGCTTTAAACTGGAAAGATGCCTCTTAACATATTTCTAGAACAAGGTTNTTTTGTGGGATGTTTCTGGAATTTGGTGGGGCTTTTCAAGAATTTTGTGGTATTTTGAAAAGATTTAGGGAATTTTGTGGTGTTTTTTCTTGAATTTTGTGGGAAACTCTGCTGATTTTATGGGGCGTTTCTGGAATTTGGTCAAGTTTTCAGAAGATTTAGGGAATTTTGTGAGATTTTTCCTTGAATTTTGTTGGATATTAGGGAGGTTTTGTGGAATGCTTGTGGAACTTTGAGGGACTTTTCTGGAATTTGGTAAGATTCTGTAGAGAACTGAAGAATTATCAGGGATTTTTCATGTATTCTGTGGGAATTTGTGGAGATTTGGTGGGATTTTTGTGGATTTTGGCCGTGTTTTGAGAAGATTTAGGGAATTTTGTGGTGTTTTTTCTTGAATTTTGTGGGAAACTGGCGAGATTTTGTGGGATGCTTCTGGAACTTTGAGGGACTTTTCTGGAATTTGGTGAGATTCTGTAGAGAACTGACGAATTATCAGCGATTTTTCATGTATTCTGTGGGAATTTGTGGAGATTTGGTGGGATTTTTGTGGATTTTGGCCGTGTTTTGAGAAGATTTAGGGAATTTTGTGTGATTTTTCTGGGATTTTGTTGGGTATTGAGGACATTTTGTGGGATGTTTGTGGAATTTGGTGGGGCTTTTTGTGGATTTTGGCTGTGTTTTGAGAAGATTTAGGGAATTTTGTGGTGTTTTTTCTTGAATTTTGTGGGAAACTGTGCTGATTTTATGGGGCGTTTCTGGAATTTGGTCGAGTTTTCAGAAGATTTAGGGATTTTTGTGAGATTTTTGTGGGATGTTCTGGGAATTGGTAGAGATTTTGTGGGACTTTCCTGTGAATTGGTAGGGTTTTGAAATGATTTAGGGAGTTTTGTGGGACTTCTCTGGAATTTTGTGGAGTTTTTCTGGAATTGTGTGGGATTCTGAGGAGACTTGAAGAATTTTGAGGGATTTGTTTGAGATTTTGTGGGAATTTGTGGAGATTCTGTGGGATTTTACTGGAATTTGGTGGGCCTTTTCAAGGACTTTGTGTGGTTTTGAGGAGACTTGAAGAATTTTGAGGATTTTTTCTTAGATTTTGCGGAAACTTGTGGAGGTTTTTGGGATTTTTGTTGAATTTTGTGGGATATTGAGGCGATTTAGGGATCTTGAGGGATTTTTCATGTATTTTGTGGGAATTTGTGGAGATTTGGTGGGATATTTTTCTAGAATTTGGTCGTGTTTTGAGAAGATTTAGGGAATTTGGTGGGATTTTTTCTGGAATTTTGTTGGATACTGGGGAGATTTTGTGGGATGTTTGTGGAACTTTGAGGGACTCTTCTGGAATTTTGTGAGATTCTGTAGAGAACTGAAGAATTATCAGGGATTTTTCATGTATTCTGTGGGAATTTGTGGAGATTTGGTGGGATTTTTGTGGATTTTGGCCGTGTTTTGAGAAGATTTAGGGGATTTTGTGGGATTTTTCTGGGATTTTGTTGGGTATTGAGGACATTTTGTGGGATGTTTCTGGAATTTGGTGGGGCTTTTCAAGAATTTTGTGGTATTTTGAAAAGATTTAGGGAATTTTGTGGTGTTTTTTCTTGAATTTTGTGGGAAACTCTGCTGATTTTATGGGGCGTTTCTG